GCTCTGAGGTCTCCACACAACCTTCTCTTCTCCAGGCTGAACAGCCCCAACTCTCACAGGGAAGGTGCTCCAGTCCTCTTATCTTCATGGCCTCCTCTGGCCTTGCTCCAACAGTTCCATGTCCTTGTGATGTTGGGAACTCCATAACTGTGTACATCACTCCAGTTGGGGCCTGGCCAGAGCTTCTCTCTCCCGTTTGTCCTGCAGGAAGAACCACTCCAAGTGCCTGGTGCACTGCAAGATGGGGGTGAGTCGCTCTGCCTCCACTGTGATTGCCTATGCCATGAAGGAGTTTGGGTGGTCCCTGGAGAAGGCCTACAACTACGTGAAGCAGAAGCGCAGCATCGCGCGGCCCAACGCCGGCTTCATGCGGCAGCTGCTGGAGTACCAGGGCATCCTGGATGCCAGGTGAGCCTGGATCCGTGGGAAGGTGACCCCTGGGGAGTCAAGGAGTGGATAACATCGTGGATCCATCTCTGTGGGGTTCTCTGTGGGTGTCATGCTCACAGCTGTGGGCACAGTGCACGAGGTGCTGCCTGATGGCCCTTTCAGGAAGGGCAGAGGAGCTTGGCTTAATCCTGCTTTTCCTAACCTTTCCCATTGCCAGGCTCCCTGGGTGGAAATGAGCTGGGAGAGCTGCTCTGGTGTCATTCAGTGAGGGTTTCTCCATGCTTGGGAAGCATGTTTGGACTTCTCAGCAACCAGCACTGCTCAGCACAACATTGTTCTTGCTTTATGAGGCAGAACTGAGCTCAGAGGTGACACATTTGCAGTTCTGGGTGGCTGTGCCAGTCAAAAGGCTTTGGCATGGCAAGTGTTTGTCTGATGAGGGGAGAGGAGGGAGCTCTGTCCCTCTGGCTGTGCAGGAGCTGTGCAGAGGTGTTGGTTCCGGGTGTTCGCCCTGCTGGGGGTTCTGTGCACGGGGGGACTATCACAGCCACACACAGGGCACTGCTCTGAGCCTGCTCTGGAGTGAGAGATGCTGAAGGTGGTTTTGTCCAAGTGGGAGCACAGGGCTGGGCTCAGCCCTTGGGTTCTGGGCTGTGGAGAGGGAGGGAAGCTCCCGGCCCTGAGCATCCTGCAGTTCCACCAGTCACTGTGTCCTTGTCCCCTCCCCAGCAAGCAGCGCCACAACAAGCTGTGGAAGCAGCAGGCAGACAGCAACCTGCCCCAGAACACTGATGGCACCACAGGGTCGGGAGATTTCCTCATGGAGAGCTTGGACATCGACCTGGAGAACCGCCTGGCTGACCTGGACATGCCTTCCCAGTCGGCATACCTGGACAACCGCGGCGACGTGTCCGTGGGCTTCGACTACTGCTTCCGGCGCCTGTCGGACACGCTGCTGGAGAACAAGATCCCCACGGACAGGGAAGGGTTTTTCCACGTGGAGCAGCTGGAGGGGGAGCTGGAGCGTGGCGCCGCGCCGGGCGCG